TTTTGATGACCCATTGGTCTTCGTCCTCCGGTTCCCCAAGGGGGCCGCGGTCGCTGGGCGACCTAGATGGGGTGTCTGTGGGGAGGCCGGCAACGCTCGGCGCAGAGTTTCCCTTGGGGAGGGTGGGTAGCCAGGACTGTGTCCATGGTGCTAGAGGGACAGCTGTGTCCCAGTAATGCGAGGCCGAGCGGGGCCCGGGGCCACCTTGCGGGGCGCTCCCAGGCGCCTGGGAGGCCCGGCCTGGCTGTGAACTTGGTCTAAGGCGGACTCTACTGGCAGCTCGGGGATGTTACAGCTTCTGCCTCTCGGCCAGCGCAGCGTCCCTGCGGACCACCCCGCGCACTTTCGGTTTCCCTTCTGTGCCGACATCACCTGCCAGGACCCCCTCTGTCGCGGGGAAGGCAGGGTTTCCTTTCTATTTCCCTGGGGGGGCCCTCGGTAGCCAGAAAAGAATAAAGAGAGAGGAAACAGGAGAACGAAGGAACGAGAGGAGAACTCGAGGAGAAGCCCCAGCACAGGAATTCTCCCCCATGGAGCCCCCAAATCTCCCAGGAATCCCCTCCCCACCCTGCACTCTCCCCCACCTGTCCCCTGAGCGCCCCGCGCCGCGCTGGCTGCCCACCTTTCCACCTGGCCCGGGCTCATCCCGCGGCCTCTGCCCTGGAGCCTGTGGTACCTTTCCTTCCTAGGGGGACCCATCCACACAACCGACTCCCAGCTCAGGGCTCGCTGCGACCGAACCCAGGCTCCGCGCTCCGCGCTCCGCGGGAGGCTGTAGCCGCCTGGGCTCAGCCCCGGTCCTCTCGGGGATCGAGACCAGAGCGCCGCGAGGCCTTTTCCGGAGAGAAGAAACTGCAGGACGCTGCAGAGAGTGCTTCTCCTTCTCCCGGAGGGAACTAGGGAGAGCAGAGACCGGAAGGGAGGCACCTAAACTATAGAGAAAAGGGAAAGGGAGAGGAGAGAGATGAAAACTTAAGCAGGAGGCGCTTGCTGCTGGGGATCCGACAGGTTCCTAGATTGCTCAAAGGCCATCTTCTTTGGGCTCCTAAATCCCTCCACTTCTGTTCTGAGCTTGCATTCCGGGTTTCAGCGAACTTGCTACGGGAGAGAAGAGATGGCCTAAACCTGCCGGCACGCCCGCCCCCGCCGGGCCTGCAGCGCCCGGTGCCTGCGCGGTGGCCGGCCGAGGGCGGCGCGTAATGTATGCGGCAGCGGCCCGGAGCCCCGAGTAGGCCGGCACTGCGGCCCCCGTGTCTGCTGACCTCTGCGTGATCCCGGACTCTATGAATTATTGATGAGATATGAGCTTGATTTCCCCCTTTCAGGATGCAAACTCCATTATATTGTTAAAATGGCGATTTAATCGTTGAGAATAGCTTTGGTGTGGGTTTCCCCCCCCCAACTCATTTGCACCTCCTTCCTTTTCATTTAACTCTCTTAATTAAATCCTTTAACAGATTTTAATCACTTTTTGGAGGGAGGGGTAGGAGAAAGGGGGAAGGCCATAAACACCATCACTGTCGTCACCAACAACAAATGGGACACTAAAACAAGACAAAACAAAACAAACCCCAAAGCCATCAAAAGCTTCTACCTTCGGGCAATTGAGGTGGGAAGGAGGTGTTAACATCTCTAGAAAGACGGCATTGGGATCTTCCACCAGAGACAGCACCCACAAGCTGGGCAGACCAGCCTCAGACCTCCACCATGGGTCAGGGCCTGCAGGAACCTGCTGGGGAGGGTCTCATTAGGAGACTCTCCCTGCATCGGGACTGTGGAGCCCAAGGCACGAGGCTTACCCTCGCTGGGTCTTGGAGCTCGGGGAGGGTCACAGGATTCTTGAGGAGAAAGCCCCTGTCCAATCTGGGCCTCCAGGGCCACTTAGGGAGAAATGTCCACTCTCCTTTAGGGGCCCCCGGGTCTCCCCTCCCCCGCCCCAAACAACTCCATTTCCAGGCGGTGTCTGGGTTAATTAATATGGATGTGTAACAGCAACGAAGCAATCGATACATCCCTGCTGCGGGCAGATCCCAGCCTCAGAATCCGATTACTCTGAGAAACTCCAAAAATTGTGAGAGTGAGGAGTGGCCCCTCTTCTAAAAGAGGAGGGCCGGTTTTTAAATGGCCCTGTCCTCCAAGGCTGGCCAGGCTGAGCCCAAGCTGAGTTTGGGGGATCACATGAAGCAGTCTGTCTTCTCCCTCCCTCTGAGGCAGGGCTTCCACTCCAGCATCCAGATCTCAGCAATAAAGGAACCAGGCAGAGAAAGGAGTTTTCTCTTGGATCTCCCATGTCCTGCCCTCCCAATCCCCAGTAAATAACTTCTGACCACCAGGGAAGGGTTAACTGTCCCTTCCACAGTTATGGAGAGGAAGCCGATGAAATATGGGCACTTGGAACTCCAGGCCTGTCTGGCTTTCCTGTTTACACTTCTTTATACTTCCTCCCACCCTGAGGCCACAGAGAAACAAAACAAAACAAACAACCAAATAAAACAAAACAAAAAGTTAAAATCAGATTGTCCACTGAGTGGTGGTCAGGCTGACCTCAGAGCAAAAGAGAAACTGCAGCCTCCATCTCTGACTGTGGCTTTCTGGGGCCTGCCCCGGGCTGAGGATTTGGCCAGAGGATGTTGGTCTCTAGTTCAGAAGCTTGAGCCCTGGACTGGAGGGGAAGAGGAAGTGGTGGGGGAAAGGGGGAAGAAGAGCTTTGGAGAGCACAGAGCAGCATTTCCAGAGAGGCATCTGGGGGACAAGCAGGAGGACAAGGACAGACCTCACTGGACCTCTTGTCCCCTCCCCCAACTTGTCTTGGTTGGGGATCAGTGAGGGCCATTGCCCAGAACCCCCGAAATGGGAAAAGGGAAAGCCCAGCCAGGATTTCTCCAGAATCTCCTTATAGTTGGAGGAGACCCTCCAAAGGTTTGGTCTCTGCAGCGGAAGTGGATCCCCCTTCCTGGGGCTGCACTTTTCCCCTCCGGAAAATCTGCCCAGATCTGCCCAGCAGATGCTCCGTGCTGCCGGCCCGCCCTGCTCCTTATCAGAGTTTGCAGAAGTGACATGGCCAGAGGGGAAAAAATCTTCAGTGGAGCCTGAGGAGAGAGGGGAGCTTGAAGGAGGCCCGGAGGCTCAGTAAGTTTAGGGTTCCCCTGGAGCCCTGAGCTGGGCTGTTCCTGCTGTGCTTTTCCTGGGCACCCCTCTCAGTTCCTTTGCCTCGTAGGGAGTGGAAGCCAAGACTCCAAAATGTATTCCTGCTAAATGGTGCTGGGGATCCTTTGGGAGCTGACTGCCCTGTCCTTTGTGTCCTTTCCAAGGGGCACATGTGCCCATCCTTCTTGGAAAATGTGTCTTCACCCCAAGCCAAGGACCCCAAGCTTTCTGTGCTCTAACTCTGTGCTCAAAGCGCCTCAGGTCTCCTGGAAGAGGGGCAGAGAATGGCGAGTTGGAAAAGCAGAGCGCAAGCAGCTTCAGTGGACAAGAGAGGGGAGGGCCCCAGTGCCCCTGAGTGGGAAAACGGGGCATCTTGTGACACACACACACACCCTTGTCCCCAGATCAGAAGCCTCTCAAGGAGCCAAATGTCCAATCCCAGGGACCACCGGCAGGAGTTGGTGAGCTGAGTGGAGAGATGGTGGCCGGCACAGGACGCAGGAGCAGGAGAGCTGACAGGCTGTGTTCCTGGAGGTCACCTCAGGGATCTTAAATCTTGGGGTGGGGAGTGGAGAAAAGGCCTGAGGCTTTTGGAAGAAGGGTGACTTTTCCTTCGAAAATCACAGGCCCCTGAGGGTTGGATCTGGAAGTCCCTCTGGTTTGTGATGCCACAAAACAAAGGGGCCTTTGAGGATCTGGCAGGGAGAGAAGAGGAAAAAGAGGAAAGAGAAGAGAGCACCTTTCCAATCTCCTCTCCCAGTGTCTGCCTTTTTGCTGCCAGAGTTGGGGTCCATGTTCCCAGACAGGTTTATCTGTGACCAGCTTTCTAGAGGATCTATTTCAACATCTCCTCCTCCAGGCCAGATCAGAAGCTCCTCTGCTCCTCACCCTCTGTCCTGTCCCCTACCCCATACCCACACTGACCCCAGCATCCTTCTCCAATCCTAGCCGCAGGAATCACTCCAGACCCACAGGCTGAAGTTGGGTACAGAAGCTCTGCACTCTGCTTCCTGCAGAACCCTGACAAGGCCAAAGAGCCCTTTTGTGGGACTCAAAGACCAGAGAGGCAGACAGCACCCCCAAGATGAAGTCTCCCACAGCAGCCTTCCCTGGCGCTTGTTCTTAGTCAGATAAAAGTACCTGGTGATTGGCACCCACATACTCCTGACAAATGCATGTCATGTTTTTTTTCTGGGGATGGGAAGATACCAGTCTTAGGGTAGCCAGCTGTGAAATGGCGCCCCAAAACAGGCCCTTCCTCTAGCAGTACACACCCCTCTTCACGCCCAGAAATTTCCCAGCGCACCAAAGGAATGAGGATCCCACACAACTCCTTTGCCCCCTAAAACCAGACAGTCCTGCAAATAAAATCCAGGTGCCCTCAACCCCTGAAGCTTTTTGGCACCGAGTGAGTGCCCCCACTCCAAGCACCCAGTTTCTCTGAGCTGGGGCTAGAAAGCAGGCTAAGCACCCCCTACACCATTCCACAGCCCTGCTGGAAGCAAGATTTTCTTCCTCCAGCCTCAAGCCCCAAAAGTGCCAGCGAAGGAAGGGGAGAAAGGAAAGCTGGAAGCGACTTACTGTGAGCGAGGCTTCTGGGCCGCCACCACCTCCTGGGCTGGTCGGCTGCTCTGCTCTAGGCTGGGAGAGCTCTCATCTACCTCTGCCCCTCTCCCCACCGCGGCGAGCAGTTAAAGTGTCACTTAACATTCTGGAGAATGTGAAATATACCGCACGGTGTCAACTCCCCAAAACCATAAAACTAACTTTATGGACCTCACGTGACTTTCTCGAGCCAGTGAGGGGTATCTGTCTGACTTCTCGGCGATTTTTACGATCTAACTTCGAGATAAAACCCCTATCCATTTGACATCTAAATGTCATAGCGACTTTTGGGATAGTTTGCTATCGGCAAAGGGGGACAGAGTCAGGGGGTAAAGGGGAAGGAGGGCCCGGGAGAGCCTCCGGGACCCTCGGCAGCCCTCCTCTCCCCCTCCCCCTCCCCCCAGGTCCTGTGAGAAGTTGGGCCCAGCTGGAAGGGATTGACTCTGGGTAAGTGTCCAGCTCGACGCTTGTGCTCAGGGTGGAGGCTGGCTGGGCTGGAGGGGGAACCAGAGGTCTTTCAGGAGGTACCCCAACTCCTAACCAAGAGGGGAGGTCAGCTGGGCCCCTGGAGAGGAGCCCTACAGAGTTGTAGAGAAGGCTGAGGTGGAGAGGAAACCTTTGAAATGGATCTGAATTTTTTTTTTTTCCTTTGGCCATAGTGGGTGACAGAGCTGAACTGGGGTTGGAGCAGGGGACAGGGTGGCTGGGCAGGCCTCTACCACTCCCAGAAGGCCAGGAGCCTCCTGCTCAGGACTTAGGCCCCAATTGCTTTCCCTGGAGTTTCCTAGGGGGTCTCCTGGCCAGGTGGTGGGGTGGTGGAGGTCAAGATAGGGCTCAGCCCAGCCCCACCTCCCAGCCCCCAGGCCTGAAGCCCTGTCCCCCGGCCCAAGCAGCACTGACTAATCATGCCAGGACTTGGATGATGGAGAGGAGCTGCTGGTGAGCACCCTACTGTCCTGGCCTGCACCCTAGATTCATGGAGAATGATCCAGGGTGTGCTCGGCGACAGGAGAGGCAGAACCCCGCAGAAAAGACAAGTGGAAGGGCAAGGGAGTGGGGGAAACATTTATTTGACTTTAAGGAAAGCTACAAACAAATACCAAAAGCGAATCACTGAGACAGGCCTTGGGAAAGACAGATTTAACACACGGCACGGCATCCACTCGCTGCTCACTAGAAATGGTCTTGGTAGCAAATGGGTTAGGAAGGAAGAGCTGGGTCTGACCTAGGCTGTTCCCATATTTACAAGCGTTGGACCCTCCAGCCAGACCCAAGGATTCACAAAGAAATACACACGAGACATTTTACACAGAGGATTATTTCTTCTGTTTCCGTCCACCCCTAGACCAGGCCTTGTGAGGCCTATCAGGCAGCAGGAACTTAAACCTCGCTCTTTTCCTTCCTTCTCTCCATGTCACCTCTGGTTCCTCCGTGTGGCCCCTTCCCACCCAGGACCAAGCCACTGGGAGACCTGGGCCTGGGGAGAGAGGAAGAGGAGGAGGAAGAAGAAGAGGAGGAGGAGGAGGAGGAGGAGAGGGTGGAAGGAGACATAGCCATGGACTCCATCTCAGAGGCCAGCTCAGCTGGGCCCAGTACTGCGACACTACCCCACTCAACTGCTGCCCTTAGAGAAGTCTCCAGCTGAAACTCAAAATATAGCCATCATCCCTTTGTAAATAAGTTAGGACACAGATGGGGAGGGGAAAGTCCACATTAAACATGCGAATTTCTTTTTTTTTTTTTCTTCCTGGGGGAAAGAGCGCAACCACAGACAGGAACATTCAGAAACACTGGCGAATTTGGGGGCGAGCAGAGGGGAGGAGGGAGTCCGGAGGGAAAATAATAAGTATTATCATCATCATCGTTATTAGTATTAACAATAGTAACAAGATAACCAGTCCGAGAGAGAGAGAGAGAGAGAGAGAGAGAGAGGGAGAGGGAGCCACAGGAAGACCTAAGACCAAACGAAAAATCAGAACACAAGGCCGGGTGAGGCAGGCTCGTGGGAACCGGTCCCCAGTGGGCGGCGGCAGCGCAGGGAGGGTCGGAGGGGCCGGGACTGGGGCTGGCGCGGGCTCTTGGGCCGCCGGGGGCTCCTCTGGGCGGGCGGGCTCAAGGCTCAGGGCTGGAAGGCGCTGCCGGCTGTAGCCAGGCTCATACTTTTCAGTTTGTTGTCTTTCTTCCACTTCATGCGCCGGTTCTGGAACCAGATCTTGATCTGGCGCTCGGACAGGCAGAGCGCGTGGGCGATCTCGATGCGCCTCCGCCGGGTCAGGTAGCGGTTGAAGTGGAATTCCTTCTCCAGCTCCAGCGTCTGGTAGCGCGTGTACGCGGTCCGGGCCCTCTTCCCGTCTGGCCCAGTCATATCTGGAGCAGACAGAACAGAGCCGCCAGGCCACGTTAGTTATTCCTATTCCGGTTCCAGGAGGGGGCCCTGGGCGGGAGGGGCGGGGAGCGGGACCCAGGCGTCCCCAGCAGCCAGCCCCCCGCAGCTCCCACCTCCCCTCTCCAGATGCCCGCGGCCAAGCTCCGTTTCTGCACCCCCTCGTCCTGCAGCCCCCACTTTGCTGGCAGCGGAGGCGTCCGCTTTGGCTTTGTCTCTTGCGCCCTCTCCAGTGCCTCACCCTTCCGGGGCGCAGGCGGCCGCTCGCCCAGGGAGGGAGCAGAGCGGCCCCACGCCTGCCCTGGAAGGCTCCTCCGACTGTCTGCCCTCCGAGCCCAGCAGCCCTCTCGAGATTTCGGGGGACTCTGCCCTACATCACATACCCCCCATCCTTCATCCAAAGCTGGCTCCTGGCTGGGCGACTAAACCCTCAGCCGAGCCTGGGAACAAATTATTAAAAATCACCCTCTCGGAAGCCCCTGCTTGGCCCTGTCCAGGGAGCCTTGGGGACCCTCTCAGGGACGTCTCCCGCTTGGGAAAATACATCTGTATCTGAGTGAAGCCAAGCTCTCCTGGCCCCCAGACACACAGAAGGGCAGCTGAGGAGACAAAAAAGAGTCAGAGAATTACCATGGCTGATGTGAAGCTTCCGCATCCACGGGAATATCTGCGGAGCCTGCCCCTCGGGCGCGGCCGTGGAGGTGGCCATGGGCTCCGGCTGCGCCCGCGCCAGGCTGGGGCTGCCGAGCTGGCTGGAGGCTTCCTCGGGCTCCGAGGACGCGCTGGCCTCGTCTATCTCGGTGAAATTGGCGCTGGAGCTGGCCGGGGTCGCCTGGTCGGAGGGGGACGAAGCGGAGGGCTTGGTGCCGTGGCTGTCGCCGTTGGTGCAGGGCAGGGACTCGGGCGAGGACAGGGAGCAGCTCGACGCCGCCTGCCTGAAGCGGGGCTCCTGGGCGGGCGCGGGGAAGGCGCGCGAGCTCTCGCCCACCGCCCCAAAGTGGCTGGAGGAGGCCGAGGAGGAGCGGTTGACGCTGAGGTCCATCCCATTGTAATTGTAGCCGTAGGAGCCGGTGTGCATGGCAGCGGGATCCCTGTAAGAGCCGCTCAGAGAGCTGCCACTGCCATAATTTAGCAACTGATAGTCCGGGCCATTTGGATAACGCCCCGAGAAGGAGTTTACAAAGTACGAGCTCATTTGGGTGATTTTGGAGGGCTTGATTTGTGGATCGTGGTCGTTATAACCCTGTGCTTCACGATTTATGATGTATTAATGAATTATAGCGATGCACTGTACTTCGTTTTGCTATGTATGCGGCCAAATATGGGGGGGGAGGTTGGAAGGGGGATGGGGGGGCGTTAGGGAATCACGTGCTTTTGTTGACCAGTCGTAAATTCTCGCTGATGACCTCAAGAGGTAATTCATGCTCTATGGTTACAAATAATGACGATCCGAGAATCGTTAGGGCCGATTCAATGCGAGCCTCGGAGAGAGGGGGAAAAAGACAAGGGGGAGAAATCGGGAGAAGGTTGGCGTTGGCCTCTGAGCAGAGCGCGCCACCTCCCGGCGATCGGTGGGAGCGCGGGCCGCAGGCCGCCATGGCGGCGGTGGTGCCTGGTTCTTAGCTCCCTGAGTCTGCCCAGCGAGGAAGAAACCTGGCCGTGACTCACCCGCGAGGCTGAGCCTTTTTACAGAGGACGGGTCTGAGCCTTTCCCCCACTTTCTCAGGGCGCGGTTAGTTTATTTGTGCCTTCACTGTTATTATCATCATTATGATTTTCACTCTGGATAACATGATCAAAGAATGAGTTGCTCATCCCTTCTTAGGGCTTTGCAAGTCTCCCGAGTTGAGGGCAGGAATGGGGGAAAGGCTTGGAAGTTGTGTGCGGAAAAATAATTATTAAGATCCCACTCTGGGCCCCAGCTCAACCCTGCACCTTGCTTTCTGGTGGGGCTGCAGGAGCTGGTCACAGCCTCAGGCTGAGCTGCAAGACCTCGAAGCAAACGCTTTCATTCTCCTGGGCCCCTTGAAAGTTTAGAATCCTCTTCCTGACCTCCTTGTCGTCCTGAGCCCAGGCCTGGAAATGGCAAAGCAGGACAGGGACTCTGGATGATGAACCGGGCTGGGGCCCAGCGGCCCAGGCGCCGGAGAGACTGCAGCGGCCACCGCCTTGAAAGTGGTTTGGGTTGGGGTAGTGACATGTGTCTGAGAGTTTGGGGTTTAAAAGAGACCCCTTTGCCTGCTTGTCAGATGCAGGCTATTGCATTCGGAGGCCTCGGTCCGGTCCAGGCTCTGTCGCTGGCAGCTGGGCAGTTGGAGAATCTGCCCACCAGCCTGCCACTTTCCCTGGGAAAGGGTTCCGAGGACCAACGGCACCGTGCTGAGCGCGCTGGGCGGCCAGAGACCGCTGCAGCTGGGCCCCTTCTGCCAGGCAGCTATTTTCTTTAAAAATAAAAAAAAGGGAGAGCAGGAGGAGGAAGAAAGAAAAACAGTGTCTCTGGTTTGCTGCTGGGGGTGAGGGTGGGGGCCCAGAGAAAATGGGCGTTTTGGGTTGAGAGGCTAAGGAGACCCTTCACTGGCTCCTGCCCTTGGGTTTTCAAGGGGCAGGGCAAGCAGCACCCTGTGCCTCATGCCTGCCCTGGGCTGTGCATTCTCCAGCTCACTGAGCCCCTACTTAAGGAGGGAAGGGGTGCCTGGAGGCTTTGGCCTTGGGGCTGAAGTGGCCCCAGTTTTGTCTTTGGAGCCCAGGGCCAAGGCGGTTGGAAACTCCGCCATGTCTGTGGGCGTCCACAGGCCAGGGCCCTGGGCCAGCTGAAGACAGGAAAGCACTAAGGCACCCAGACCCGGCCCAGTCTCCGCAGGGGCTTTGGGCTGGGGGCCTGTGGCAACTCTTCTGTGGCGGAGGAGGAAGAGGAGGAGGAGGAGGAGGAGGCAGCAGCGGCGGCAGAGAAAGGAAGACAGGCTGCAGAATAAGAGGGAAAGGGTCCCCTCTGTTCCATAATTCTGCACTGGGAGAGGCAGTTTTGAGCCTTAACATCTGCAAGACACAGTGCCGGGAGCCTGGCTGCCACCACCGATCACCCCAGCCTTTATCTCAACTGCAACTTCCGAGTGAGGCCCTGAGGCAGACCGGAGCCCCTAGAGCTGAACTGAGGCTCCAGGAGTAGGGGGGGATTTGGGGGTGGGTGGGGGAAGAAAGGAATGGCAGGGGGGATCGGAGATGACTGAGAAGCGAGTTTTCACATCTTTATTATTATCATCATCATTATTAATAATATTAATATTATTACCGAAGTATTTCACGTCCAGAGCTAAGACAAGACTACAAACACAACACATAGAAAATTAATAAAATAGAACTTTGTTTTCTTCTGAGGCTCCTCTTCTTCTAGGTAGTATGTGCTCCTTCCTTCCAGTGGTTTTGGGGCGGGGGTGGGACAGACGACAAGTCTGGGGTCAGGGAGTCTTCGAGGCCCCTGCTGAGGGGCAGCGAATCTACCATTGAACCGTGCACGGGGGACGTGGACCAAATGAGACGCGACACATACAAGAGCATTGCGCTCTGCTTCCAGCAAACATCAAGTGAGTCCCATTCTCAGTTCTCACCCGGGAGCCTGACCAGGCCCGGGCGGGTTCCTCGGGGAGGGAGGGGGTGCTGGGGTGTGGGGTGGGCTCAGGCGGCGCCGCCGGAGCGCCCGGCTGTGGCGGGAGCTCTGCGGGCGGGGTCTGGGAGGGTGCGGGGTCGCCTGTCGCCATGGCGCGCGGGTCTCTGGGCTCCCCCGCCGCCCGCAGAGCCTTCCCGGCCTCTCCGAAGCCCTGGGGTCCGCAAGGGCCTCTGCCTTCGCGTCCCCCCTCCCTTTCCAGCACCTTCACTCGGCCGGTTTCTCTTCCTCCTCCTCGGCACTGAGCTGCGACGCGCTGAGCAGTTTGCTTTCCTTTTTCCACTTCATGCGCCGGTTCTGGAACCAGATCTTGATCTGGCGCTCGGTCAGGCACAGGGCGTGCGCGATCTCGATGCGCCTCCGCCGGGTCAGGTAGCGGTTATAGTGAAATTCCTTCTCCAGCTCCAGCGTCTGGTAGCGCGTGTAGGTCTGGCGGCCTCGCCGGCCGCTAGGCCCGAAGGAGGAACCTGTTACGCAGAGCAGAGCAGAGGCGCTGAGGCCTGAGGTCACCAGGCCCAGAGCCCCCTCTCCCACTGGACCCCCAAACATGCACTCTAGCCTGTCCCGGGGCGCCCTCAGGCTCCCCGCTCTCTGCCCCCTTCCCACCCCTGCAGCGCCCCCTCCGATTCCCTCCCGGTTTCCTGGGCCTGGGGGGGGGGGAGGCGCGCTTTGATCTCCCACCTGCGCCCAGGGGGAGGGGCCGACCAGGTGTGTCCCTTCCAGGCCGGGTCTTTTCTTTCCCTTCCTTGCCATCCATCTGGCTCCCCCCACCCCCGACCCACCCAATGATAGATTCTGCCCCTTAATCCGTAATGACGCGGATCGATCTCTAGTCCGCATTAACAGCCCCTCACTTTCGTGTCCCGCTAATGGACATCAATTGGGATTTAAAACCGACAAATAATCCGACCTGAGACCCAGGCGCCTGTTTGGCCCTCTCTCCCTCTCAGCCTGTCCGCTCCTTTGCCCTCTTGGTCTCCCTCCTTCCTCTGACTCCCACCCTTCCTGGTGCCTGGCCCCCAGCCCCCACCCGGGGAAACGCGGTCCGGGACGGACTCGCTCTCCCTCCCGCGTCACGCCGCCGCCTCCACCCCTTCATGACGCACTCCGCTTTTAAAGGAGCGGCCTTGGGTGGGGGACCTGCTGGGGCTAGGGGAGGAGGTCCGGGCACGAGGGAAGCCAAAACCAGCCTCTGAGCCCCTGGCCTTTTCCTGGCAGGAATCCTGGCTCGCCCCGGGCGCTCCAGGGAGCGGGTGGGCTCCCCCTGGCTCCCTGCGCAGCAGAGACTTTGCAAACTTTGCAACTCCTTCGGCCCAGAGGATGGCATAGGAGACCCCACGAGGGCGCACCGTCTTCCCAGACCTCCTGAGATGCCTACCCCCCAAAAAACCAAAAGGAAACAAAATAGGCTGGGGATGTCAGTGGAAAAGCACTTGTCTGGTACCCATGAGGCCCTGAGTTCAGTCCTCAGCACTGCAGATGCCCACCCAGCACCCTGTGGACGAGGAGGGGGCGCTCGCTAGTTCCCGTCTCCGGGTGGGGGGCCGCGGGGGAGCAGGCGACGGCGCAGGGTGGCACTCACTGTTGCACGAATTCATCCGCTGCATCCACGGGTACACCGGCGTGGAGCACTTCTGCTCCTCCGTATCGCCGAACACGCTCTTGTCCTGCGCGCAGTCCGGCTTCCGCGGCTCGGGGTGGAATGGGGGAGGCTCGTCGGCGCCCGAGAGCGCGCAGGCCGACTCCTTCTCTCGGTAGAAGGCCGGCGCCGGGCCGTAGTCGCAGGGCGCAGCCCGGCCGTAGCCGCCCGCGGCCGCTGGGTAGTAGGAGGAAGCGGCGAAGCTCTTGTCCTGGCCGGGCCCGGGCCCGTAGGGCGCCGAGTAATGCCTCAGCGGGTCCGCATAGCCGGATGAGTAGAGCGGCAGCTGGCCCAGGAAGGACTCCTGCCCGCTGGCCAGAGTGACGGGGAAGGTGGAGTTCACGAAATAGGAACTCATTGGCAGGGGAGGCGCGCGGCCGCTGCTGCTCCGCCGGGTTTATGATTTGTTGTGTTTTATAGTCCGAGCGCCGCGCCTATTAGTAGTATATCCGAGATTGGGTTTTAGCTGAGGGGGGATGGCGAGGTGCCAGTGCGGGCCAGAAGGAAATACAACCATCTGATCCAACACTGACCAATGGCAGAGGCAGGAATTGTCAAATAGCACCCAGGAGGAGCGCAGTCCGCACGAGGGACCGCGCACAAACCTATCAACCTTTTTTTTTCCCCCTCCTTCTCCTCTTTTCTCTCTCTCCCCCCAACAACACGACGCGTCCTGTTCCACCTACGTAGGATCTGCGAAACAGGCAAAGAGGCGTCTGTCCTCGGAGGGGGGAGGGAGCACTTGGGCTGAGACCACTTCATTCCCCAGCGGGTAAATAAATACATCCCTCCCCCACGCACACGCACTCCACGCAGAATAGGAAAAAGTTAATTGTGTTTTGAGAAAAGTTAACCCCTGCTTACTTGAAGCCGGTCCCTCAAGGGAGGGCCGGGTAAATGTCCCAGAAGCCCAAATCGTTTGAGAGACAACTAGAGGCGGCTTGTGTCTGGGGGTTCCTGTTGGTAGAAGGGAATCAGAATCAGACTTCTCTGCTAATTTCCATCCTTTCAGAACGGAGGCGAAAGAGAAGAAACCCTCTACCTCCCAGGTTCTGAAAATCATTGTTTTGTTTTGTTTTTTCCTGTTTGTCAGACCTGCTGTCTCTCCTCCAAGCCTGGGTCTATTATTCCTGCTTCCCCACAACTCTCAGGTCTAAGTGAGGTCGGGGCCTAGAAGACCCAGAGGAGGAGGGAATGGCCAGCGGGTCTGAGTGTCAGCTTCCTGGCTGCTGGTAGGTTTTTGAAGCCTTCTGCGGCTGCTGCCCAAGACACCTCGCCTGGTTGCAGCATAACAGCTCACTCCTGGCAGAGGATGCACCCTGGGGAAGGAACATGCTCTCTCCTCACCGGGGCATATGGTGTGGAGGAGCCAGGAGAAAACCTTGGGCCCAGGTGGCTTTATTTGTCCAATCCTTATCCCGTCTGCAACTTCCCACCCCCACCTGCCACCCCAGATGACATGAGAATATTCTAGGTTGTCCGTTTCTTTTTCCATTTTTCAAATTCTTTCCCAAGGCTTGGTTTTGGTTTAGTCTTATAAAGAGGGAGAGGTGTCTGGGTCCTCCTGGGGGCTCAGCAGCGGTCTCCCAATATCCCCTCTCTAGACACCATGGTTCCATCTGTCCCTCAACATCTCTCTTTTCCCCCATGCCTCATGTTTGAATCATCAGCTTCAGGTTTGCTGCTGAGCAAGCTTGGGCATGAGCGTGTGCATCCGTGCTCTCTCGCATCCAAAGAAAATGAGTGAGCATGAAGCCCAGGCTGGGAGCCAGGGCCACAGTGGGCCTCCAGCACCCCAGGTGCACACAGGCCGGGCAGTGAAGGGTGACACTTCTCCAGGACAGGAAGGGGCCAGGGTGGGAAATAAAGTTTGATGGCAGACCAGGCCAATCCACCGTGCCTTGTTCTCCTTTTTGTGGGCCAGCTCTGCCTTGTGACGGTGGCACAAGACACCAGGGAAGGTGCAGAGGGCTAAGGGTGGGGATAGACTTGGCTGCAAAGTGGGCTCTAAGAGGCTGTCTGACTTAGGGTAACTCTCAGGCTGCACTTCATGCAAAGTGGCCATCCCTGAGCCTGAGCGTCCCTCTAGCCACTTTCTACCCTGGTCCTATGGGGGTTTAAAGGATTTTAAAAAAAGAAACTCAAACCACTTAGTGATGGAGAAGCATACATGCTGCATCTTAGCTGTGGTTGGGACCCACTCCTAGAGAGGAATAAGAGCTGTTTGAGAAGGGAAGGGAAGGGCGCTTGCCTGAGCCTCTCTCTGCCCTGCAGCTTGAAGCTGGGCCCTGGGCCTCAGTCCTCTTCCTTGGCCACAGCATCCCATGCCTGGTCTAGGTGGTGTGGCCTTCCCTGATGAGTATGGGTGAAGTAAGAGCCAGCAAGGGCAGAGCTCTGCTCTGGCCTGTGACAGAAGCAGGAAATAATCCCCTTATCCTTGGAGTCACAGCCCCTAAATTAACCTCACCTCTGCAGGTTGCCTGTTGGGAGATGGAGCCACTGCAGGCAGGGCCCAGGCGCCTGGAGTCCAGCATGAAAGGAACTAGCGCCTCATCCCTCTTATCTAACCCCAGAGGTATTTATAGCATTTATTCCTCTGATCCGTTTGTTTGGGAAAAAGAACAGGCAGGCAGGCCTCTGCCAGAGACTGCCTGGTTTGTGGAGCCAGATCTCCAGAAGAATCTGTCTGTGGTTCCATGCAGTGTGGCAGTCTGTCTGTCTGTCCCCACGGCGGGGGTGGGGTGGGTATGTAAATACACAGCAGGCGCAGCAGCCTACTGGGCTGGGTGTCTCTCCCTGCCTCGGTGAGCAAGTGTGTGTACCCAGAGGTGGATATAAATGAGCAGCAAGTCTTGAGTACACAAGGGGGGGATTGAGCAGACACCTCACAAGCCAGGTTCATAATGGTGATTTTCTGTGCTGAGTACTGCGGCTAAGCACACACATTCCAGCTCCCAGGGCAGCGTTTGTTGCATGGAGTGGGACTGAGACATTACCCAGGCTTCCGGCTTCCTCTAAGCCACAGTGCCAATGCAGCAGCCCTTCCTCAGCTCCTGGGCTGGAGGGGCACCTTTCCCCCAGCACACCCCCACTTGGCCTGGGGTGGGGCAGAGGAAAACACCTCAACAGGCCTCTCCGCCTGGACTCTGATTGGGTCTGGGGACATAAATATTTCCAGAGGTGCAGGGTGGTGTCTCTCCTAGACTGAGAGCAGCTCTTTACCTTGGCCACTCTGCCCTAAAACCCACCGGTCCAAATCGAGGTACAAAGACCTCATTTCCATTATGCAAATGAGAGACACCCCCTGTGATGGGGGGTGAGCGGTGGCTCTACCAGCTCTGCTTGTCCTCTCTCCCAGGTCCAAGGGCACCCCAAGACCCCTGAAGTGCTTCAAGCTCCCTACCAGTCCGACTTCCCCTCCCTACCTGTCCTTCCACTGCCCACAAGAGTAAAGACCTCGGAGGGGCCCCAGGCCTTCCCGGGCGGCTCCCTCGGGACCTCCCGCAGAGCTGGCCAGGCAGTCCAGCTGCCAGAAAGTCACTCAGACTGCGGAAAAGCTCAAAGAGCCGCCCAAAGGCCCAGACTCCAGAGGCACCGAGGGCGGGCAGCAAGCGGGGTCGCCCCCAGCACCGCCGCCGGCCCCTAGACCCGCTCCAGCCAGACCCCAGTAACACCTCGGCTGGCCTGGAACCACAGGCAATTTCCTGCAGCCCCCGCCCGGGAGCCCGGGCTACCGCACCTTGAAAGGATCGGCCAGAGAGCTCTTCCTCCTGCGGTTTCAAAGCCCGAGCTAATCAGTAACCCGAGAGACTGGGGCCAATGCGCCAACGCGACACAGGGGCGCGCGCGCCGCCGCCACCCCCTCTGGGGGCGATGTCGCGCCAAGCGGGTGTGCGGGGTCCGGCGGGAACGGAAGTCACCGTGGTTTGCTCCCTTCGTGATGTATCCCCTCGGCCCACTCCCAATTTGTCCCCACTGTATACTCGCGTCGATTTCGCTCGAAACGATCCGGGGTGGGGGAGGGGACCGGCGCTCACAGGCAGACACCGAGTTTCCAGGAAAACTCCGCACCCACCGCCGGGGAACTGGCGAGGCCCGCCACCGGCCAACTGCAAGAACAGACCGGGTTTGTCTTTTGACAGCCGAGTGGAACCGCGAGGCCCCTCCCTTGGCTATGAAGAAACCAAATAAACCTTGAGCAGCCGTGGCTCCCGCCGCCCCATCCTTGCCCGAGCCTTGGGTTGCGTTGGGCGTGGGGCCGGGACTCCGATCCCCCAATTCTGTGGCTCGGTCACCCCCCGTCCTCGGGTTGCAGTATCAGTCCTAAGAGAGATCGCTTCCTCTGCCAGCCACCAGGTTTGGGGCTGGGATGGGTTTGCAGAGGCGAGGGGGGAGGGGGTTGGGGATCCTGAGGCGAGAGACTTGTTTTGTCCCCTAATCCGCCCCAGAGAACCAACATGGACTGGAGGCGTCGGAGTGGCCCCAAGATCCCCGAACCCTTTCTGACCCCGCGGCCAGCCAAGGCTGCAGGCGTCGGGCATGGCTGGGCAGTGTCGCTGGGCTTTCGGCGCCCACGTCGCGCGTTTGTCTCGGAACGGTCGGTAGATGGCAGCAAACCGCATAATTTGGGTCAGAGCAAACTGTCTAAGGGGCGATTTATAGCCCGCCAAGACTCCAGGAGAAAAAGACCTTTAGTCTGAGTGGGTTTGGGGAATTTCCCTTAGAGAATAGGCCCCCAGTGTCACGGATGCTGGCGAATGACTTCACTTGCTCTGGAACCAAGGGGTGTTTCTGGGAGCCCAGGCCAGGCCTGTACCTAGGGTACCCACCTGGGCCCCCAGGGACCCCCTTCCTGTGCCACAAGTGGCTGCCATCTCCCTCTTCTCCCAACTCAGGGCTGAGATGGCCAAGATGCTCATGCACGCGCGCGCGCGCGCACACACACACACACACACACACACACACACACACACACCAGGCCCGGCAATCCAGGGCAACCAGAGGCCTCAGGCTGAACTTGTGCCTGGTCTTAAGAAAGAAAAATCAACAACCTATTCGTGCAAACCAAACTAAATCTAAATCGAAACATCTCGGGTTCTCCACACCCTACATCATCTCCTCAGGAGCCCCTTCGACCCTTGACTTAGTCTTTGCACCCATCGGCTCCTTCTTCTGCCCCAGCAGATACTTTAGGAATCCGAGTCTCCCACCCAGCAGTTCTCCTCCCACCCCAAGGCTGGGCTGAGGGTGAAATCAGGCAGCTGAGGTGCCAGACCAAGCTGTCTGAGCTCAGCCCAGGGCTTCGCATCCAGACACCTTCAGATTCCTCATTGCGCTTCCTTTTGATTTTCTTGTTATCTTCTGCCCTGTTTTTGTGTACAAGCCCCAAAACATCAAGACCCTAAAGAGCCCTCCACAAACACCACATTTGGATTCAGAAAAGTTTGAATTTTCCATATCAAACACACATGGCCATTTTCTCCTCCGCGGAAACCCACACACCCCATACCAATAAAACACAAGTCAGAGAATGAGTCCTGCACCACCGCAACCGACACGCTGGAACCTACCGCATCAAAACCACACAGCTCCCTGCAGCGCGGGGCTCCCTCCTGCCGGAGTGGCCAGAGACCTGGGTGCCGATTCTCGGCCGGGCTTCCCAGGGTGTCTCCACCCCTGGGCGCCTCCACCCACAGCCCTCTCATGTCCGAAATGTCTCCGAAGGGAGAGTGTGAATATTTCTCTGTGAACTGTTCTTTCTGTGTCTCTCTAGCCACCTCCTCGGCCTCGCCAGCCTCTGCGAAGATTCCAGGCCCTACAGAGACCAGGACGACCCTGAGCGCCGCCGCCCCTCGTGCCAATGCTGCCAGAAAACTGCCGATACCCACACTGGGCAAGAGAACTGCACAGGGGCGATCGGAGGAGGCCAGGGCCAGGGAGGGACTGGGAGGGGGAGGGGGCACGGACCCACCGAGGCTGGATCGAGTGGCTGCTTCCCGCCGGGGCTGCCGGAGCCCTGGCACCCCATCCTCTCCTTTGCAGCCCCCGCTCGCTCGGGCTCTTCTGCCCATGCCTTTTTAAAGGCACTTAGCGATGGCCTCCATGGCCCCTTTCAGTTCCTCCTCCCATCTCCCTCGCCTGGACTCCCTCTCCAGAAAACAACCACCCCTCTCTCCAACACCGAATTTCTTGGGAAGCCTCTTCCCCCAGCGCCCAAAGGTGGGGTTCAACCCCAGACTGGGAGTTGGGGGAGGAGGGAGAAAAGCCCAAGCCCCACCCCCCTACAAAAGCAGTGCGAAGGAATAAGAAGAGAATTGTAGAATCTCCCTTACCTTTGCAGACCTTGGGGGTTTTCTTGCTCCAGATCATCGAAAAGGGTGGGGAGGGAGGGCGGGGGAAGAGCGTTTGGTTTCTTCTTTCGGCTTCCAGATAATATTGTCCCAACCTGAGAGCCGTCACTTCCCTTCTCTGACTTGGGAGAGAGGGTGTTTCGCTTTTCTGACATTTGCATAGAAAATAGAGTAAGTTCTGGCTTTGAAAAATGGTATCAGGCTGCAGTCCTGGGCAGATTGTCCATTTACCCTTCATGATGACTGAAATCCCAGATCAGCAGGCAAATTAACTTAGGAATCAAAATTATTTTTGGTTCTCTCTTTTGTATAATTCCCACCCCTCCTTCCCTCTCCCTCTCTCTCTCTTCTCTCCTCTGCCCCCTCTCTTCCTCTCTCTCTCTCTCTCTCTCTCTCTCTCTTTTGCTCTATGAGCCGATATTGAAGTATAAAAATATCAAGAGGCTGGAGCCCTGAAGGACGACAGTGCTCCGACCTAGGTGTGGTGTCCAAAAGAATGCTGCATTATAACCACCAGGGAAATGATAAAAAGTTCATGTTCACGATCGCCCGGCCACATGACCGGCGCCGGCCAATCGCTGGATTCAACCACTCATAAACTTCTATCACAAAGTTGTAAATTTTCATAAAACAACAAGGAATTTATTGCATTTCTTCCTGGCTGCTCCACCAGCAACCCTTTTCTCAGTCGCCATCTTCTTTTCTTTTCCTTCTGTCTTTTTTGGGGAAACCCCAGGCTGAGAAGGGGTGAGATTTGGGGTGCAGAGTTTCAGGGCAGAGCAGCCACAAGGGTCCAGCTAGGAAGAGGATTCTCTTAGAAATCTCCCTGCTTCCTCAGGAGCTCTGCGCCTCTTTTCTAGTAAAAATTCACCCCAAATCTGCACGGGACAAATTTGAAGGTGAGGCGGGAGCAGCAGCCTGTTTCTGGTGTCCTCCTCTGAGCGAAGTGAAAGCTGCAATGTCCCTCCTCCCCTCTGATCTGGCCCCTCATTCTCAGCCCTAAAAATATAGGACCCCCACCTTTGAGGCTCTCAGCATTGCGGGTGTGGGGACCTAGATTCTCTAGGGCCTAGTTTTTTTCCCCAGGAGGGGAGGTGACCTGGATGGGGGCCAAAGCCGAGAATCTAACAGCTGGAGTCTCCACCTCGGCACCCCAGAAACTGGGTGAGGGTAAAGCCGCATGTCGAGCGCTCCTGCCCAAATGCTGGCTGGTCCATTTCCTACGACAGCTCCACAGGCTCGCTTGCCAAGGGGTTCCGTGGTTATTAATGGGGAAACTGCAAGGTTAGGGGCCTTTCACTCATACGTTCAAATTAGACAGATTTTCCTAAAACCAGCCCCCCTCCCACTCTCTGTTTGAGGTACCTGTTCTTTAAATTTAAAAGAGTCAGGGTGATTCAATAAATGCTAAAAATCAGCAATGCAGTTCTAGCTGTGTAGGCGCCCATCTTTCAGGGTTTCATGCTGTGATCAAAGATTTTGGGGGTGCAAAACATCAATTCATTCCCTTTTCCCCAGGTCCTCTAAAACATCCCCGTATTTTGGGTTGAACTACGTGGGCCCAAATGCAAAGAAAAACGAAATAACCTCCCCCGAAATGTTTTCATTTTTTTTCTCCATCTCGGTGCTCCTGAGAAGGCTCCAGGTTGTCGGCCACCCCGAGAGCAGGCAGAAAGGCTCACCGGAAGTCGCCGGAGGCTGGCGGCACAGCCAGCTCACAGCAACAGGGGACAGGGCCACACCAGCCCGGTAAACTCGCACTGCTCTGGCTCCCGGGACCCATTTTATTCCCTATTTTTAAGTTGTAAGTGGATCGCCTGGGTCAATTCAGCCTGAGAGAAATTCAAACACTGGAAAGCAACATCCATGGAAATAAAACAAAGGAATAGATTTGGCCAAAAATGTTTGCCGAATGAGCTCAAAGCTGCGGGGCGCCCTGGAGCCGAAGGCCGCTTTAGGCCGGCTAGGAAGCCTCTCCTTGCCAACCAGCCTCTGCCCAAAGGTAGCCAAGAGGCAGAATGGATTCGGGGTTCACATCCCCTTTGCATCTGCTCTTCCATCTTATGGGGTCTGGCCTTGGGGATGTCACCTCTGTATTGACGGCCGGGTCCGCCAGCTTGCTTTGAGGGCCTGCTGGGAAAGAGTTCCTGAATCCGTGAGCTTTTGTATTTTGTTGTTTTGTGGGTGTGTAGCTGAGCACATGGGCTCAAGGATGTATTTATTCCAGGGCAAATGTGAATCTCTGCTTATATACCCATGTGTGGGTGTGCACTTGGGTCTGATGTGTCTGTGAGTGACTGTAAATGTGTGTTGACTTGTGTGTGTGTGAATGCAAAGCTGGTTGTGTGTGTGAATGCCTGTGTTTCTGTGAATATATGAATGTGTGTGTTTATTTGTGACTGTGTCCGTACGTGTTTGTCTATGTGAGATGCCCCCGCTGGAAACGTGTGATTGTGTGCACTGGGTTATGGCAGTGTGTATGAAGAGTACAAAGGAGATCCGCATGCTTGTGTGTGTGTCATATCAGGGGTCACTACTTGGCAGTCCCCAGAGCAGGGGGCAGTGAGAAAAAGAGGAGACCCAGCACAGAAAGCAAAGGACTGGCGGCGGAGGGGCTCCGGGAAACCCACCTATCACTAATCCCAAGCCCCTCCCAGGCTTCGGGAGACACAGAAAATAGGGCATGCAACTATTTTTAATCTTGTTTTATTTTTGCATCATTCGGCTACACACAGAATGCACAGAGGAAGGGTGGTCGGCGCTAGACACGGGGCACAGGAACTAGCGGGCCAGTCAGTGGGTCCGCGGGACTCCCCGAGACCCTCTGTGTGCCGCTACTGGGAAAGCGGAGGCTCAGGAGGGTGGGTAGGAGCCACTGGTGTTAGTCCAGACCCAAGTCCAGGAAGACAGCCGCAAAGGAGGCTTACAAAGCAGCGAGGGAACTTTTACAAAGACCTTACAATAGCGACATAGAAAAGGGGAGGCGAATTAGAAAGCTACAGACAGCACAGGATGCTCTTCCCATATTGTACAAAAACAAACCCGACAGACTTTCCTATAGGTAGTATTTTCTTTACAGTGTTGAGAAACCAAAATTTCACCTTTCTCTCTCCTTGATAATTTTTCCTTGATAATTTTTAAAAACTGCTTTTATTTAAATAGTTTGTTTTATTTTTATTTTTATTTTTTTCCTATTTGACATGACTTTCCGGGTTCAGGTCCCAGAACTGGGCGGCTCCCTCTCTCCCTTCCTCTTCTCTCTCTTCCTCTTCTCTGCCCCTTACTCTTCCTCCTCCTCCTCTGCTTCTGCCCTGTCCTGGCCGGCGACCCCTGGGCCTGAGGTCTTGTTTTCCTTTTTCCACTTCATGCGCCGGTTCTGGAACCAGATCTTGATCTGGCGCTCGGTGAGGCAGAGCGCGTGCGCGATCTCGATGCGCCTCCGCCGGGTCAGGTAGCGGTTGTAGTGAAATTCCTTCTCCAACTCCAGCGTCTGGTAGCGCGTGTAGGTCTGGCGGCCTCGCTTGCGGTCGGTCCCTGCGCACAAAATACAGAAGGGGGAAAATCAGTCTTTTCAAATAAAAAATGCTGAAAACCCCAAGAGAGTATCTACTCCCTCTTAGACCTTGCATGTGAGGTCCATAGGAGGGAAAAAGAAAAAAAAAACACCTCATTTTGCAACTAAATCAAATTCTTGCTCTCCACGCCCCAGCCCATAAGACCACACTGCCCTTTGCTCTCAATGTGTAGAATTTTCTGCAGGTCGCTTAAGGGAAATATTTCCATTGTCCCTTTGAGAAACCTCACCCTGCCTGGACTTCTGAAGCTGGAAAGCTCTAACCTGCTGGCTCCTGAAGGCTCTGCTCCTAAGGCATGTATGTGGGGTGAGGGGAGGTGGATCCCCAGTTCCTCTCTGGGACCAGGGACTCCAAGCCTCCCCTGTTGGCCACTGACTGGTGGACTTTGGGGCCAGGCACCAGCAGAAACCTTGCCAGGGCTTGTGGTGTGGAGCTAGGCCTGGTTTCAGTGTTTCCCAAGAAGAAAAGGAGACAAAGGGGCCTCACAGCTCCAGGGCTCCCCACCCTGTTATGGAACCAGGAGGGGGAAATCTGCAGATTTCCTTGGAGAATGGAGGGGTGCGGCAGAGAGCAGCCATCCTCTGGTGATTCTTCCCCAGTGCAGGACTGAGGTTCAGACAAGGCCAGGCTGGCTTCCTTGCCCACCTGGCTACCCGGGCAACCGGCTCTGCAAAGCCATCTTTGGGCCTCCAGGGCAGCAAAGGGCAGAGGAGAGACAGCAGCCTGGCTGGAGCAGAACACAAGGCTGTGTGTGGGGCCAAGGAAATGGGACCTCAGGCCCAGAAGCCTGAGGAGCAGGAGACCTGGGGAGGCCCTGGGGTGCTGGTGCCAGCCAGAGAGGAGGCCTGGAGGTCCTAATTCCAAGTCAGATAAAAGCCAAGCTGAGATGTTTACGAGCAGAAAAATTTGGGCTTTGATAAATCAACTGGAAAGGCAGTTGAATTATGAGGCAGGTAATGGGGACCGTGACCACCAATACTGATGCTGGGAGAACAGGGCTCCTCCTGACCCCCACCCCTGGCGAGGCTGGGATCCTCTGGCCACAAATCTTGGGCCTTCTGGATGGTGGAGTGTCTCCCAAGTCCATCTGCCTTAGGGTAGTGTGAGCCAAGGTGCAGAGCCGGCTGGAAGGGAGACCTCACCGGAGTCCTGGCCTCTTGGGGCTCCTGCAGTAGCTGCTGGGAGGCCTGCACTCTCTCTGCCTGATTTGGCTCCTTGGAGTCCCATTCCCCTCCCCCCAAGAGAAGATCATCCTGCTGGAGGGACACCCCCCAACTTGTTGGCCAGTTCTCCAGGGCCACCTAGGATTCCTAGGAAGGGTTCAGGGGAAGCCAGTGTGCTCCTTAGAGGCCCCGCCCCCTCCTAGTTCTTCTACTCCCCAAGTTCACTGGGGGGTCAGGAGCCTCCCCCCTCCACCTGCCACTCAGGCTCTGGGTCCCCGCTTGGGGTCCTCCTGTCCTCTCCCCCCTCCTCCGGCCAGGCCTCTGGAGCCCACCTCTAATTGTCCTGATGGGGATAATGGGGGAGCAGGGTTGGCTGGGAGGAAGGGGGAGGGGAGAACTGCTTAGCTTAGGGCCGGACCCCCTCCCCCATATCGTGTCTGAGCCGGGGCTGGGGGACACACCCAGGGCTGAGATCCCAGGCGAGGAAAGGGGGGAGCGAGGGGGAGACCCTAATGGCTATTCTCTGCAAACCCCAGCCTTCGTCTACAAGACAAACGGCCTCGTCTCCAGCCCGTGCCGGCGCTGCTGATAAATATTTAAAGCTAAAAGACCGGGAGGAAGGCTGGGGGGCGGGCTGGGGACTCTGAGTGCCGCAGCGGCGTCGGCGGATAGAGATCCGCCGGGGAAGCAGAGCCGGCCTAAGAGCACCGAGCAAAAATGGGGGGGAGGGCAGCGCCGGGTCGCGGCCGATTGGGGGGTGCCGCGTCCCCAGCCCCGACCTCCGGGGCCCACAGCGCTCTGGTCTCGCCAGGGGGCGCCCGGCCGAGGAAGCGGCCCCCTCGCGGGCTCGGCGCCCGGGGCGGCGCTGCGGCTCGAGAGAGACAGCTTGGTGCGCGGCGTTACCTGAGCTCCGCATCCAGGGGTAGATCCGGAAGTTACTCTCGGCTGCCAGATCCGAGTCCCTCTGCTCCTTGGCGGAGTCGCCCGGACACACCCCGGAGTGGCTCTGCTCAAAGGGCGCGCAATGCATGTTGAAGGAACCCGGCTCGAGCCCGTAGCCGGCCGCGTAGACGCCGGCCGCGCCCGCCGCGCCCGCCGCGCCCCCCCCGCCGGGGTACAAGCCGGGCACCGCGGCGGCGAAGGAGGCGCCCGCGCCATAGCCGGGGCGCGCGGGGTTGGAGGCGAACGCGCAAGAAGTTTGTTCGGGGAAGGCTCCGGTGGTGGCGAAAACCGAACTTGCGGCTGGATATTTAGAAAATAAAGCATTCGCATAATACAATGAACTCATAATTTGGCCGGATGATTTGTAGGCAGGGACGTTTTAGTGTCGGTTTTACGAGATTCCTTGATATATTACAGAATTAGAGTCCAGATTTACACCAAAAAGGACCCCCTTTTTCCTCTCCGGGCCACGTGACCCCGGCCCACGTGACGTCCCCTGCGCCAATGGCCGCGCCGCCTCCCCACGGCTCCCGGTAATGTGGAAAAAATTGTGTGGCGTTGGATTTATAAAATATGATCAATAATGAATGGGAAAGCCGAGCGCTGTGGATTGGGGTTGGGGCGCTCCAGGGCCGCTGTCGACCCCCGCGGGCTGGAGGCAGCTTGCAGGCGAGGTTCGGGGGAGGAAGGGATGGAGTGGAAGGGAAAATAAATAAGCCCGGAGCGGTCGGTGTTGTCGCCACCACCCGAGTCCCCAGCGAGCGGGGGACAAACGCGGGGCAGCGCAGGCCTTTATGAACTCGGGCCACGCGTCCCGCCCGAGCCTCAGGAGAAGTTGGCCGGTTCTCCCAAGGTGAGGAGCCAGCCGGCCTGGCCTCGTGGCTCCCTCTGTGCCCCAGATACCCTGGCGCGGGGGGACCAAGGCTTCCGAGGTTCTGGGGGCGGGGGGGTCCGGCCCCTGAGTGTCGGACGCTGCGGTTTCTGGTGGGAAAAAAATGAAAAGGTTTGGAAGGAAAGGAAAAAAAAAAAAAAGGAAAGGAAGGGAGTGGGGTGTGGGGAGAGAAAGGAAGGGAGAGGGCGGCCCAGGCTCGGGCTCACTGCTTTCCGGGTTCCGGATGCCTCCGTGGAGCGAGGCTGGCCGAGAAGCAGAGGCGGCCAAGGAAGGAAGGCAGCGAGTCAGCGAGTCACTGCCTCGGAGCCGTGCAGAGCTGGCCCGGTCCCCCGGAGGGCGGGGCGCAAAAGAGCATCTTCCCTCTCCTCCCGCTTCCCCCAGCAGAGTCCCAGAAAAATAAAAATCTCTGCGTGTTCAGCAGCCTCGCGCTCATCTTTAGCCACCTCCCCCCACGCCCCACGGGAGGACACACACGGAAACAAAGAGAGACGTGGCCGGGGATGCAGCCACCAACCCGGGCGGCACTTCTCTTCCCCTGCGCGGCCGGGCCGCAGGGGTCTCGGGGCAGCCCGGGAACGCGAGGGGAGGGGGCTTCTGTGGGCTCCCCTCCCTCGGCCCGGTCTCCTCCAATCGCGTGGAGCCGCCCCCCTCACCCCCTGCGCCCCTGGGCCCAGGACTTGCACCACCTGCCCTCAGCCCCCGCCCCTCCTAGTCGCCGCCTCCGAGGCCCGGCGCGGCGACCCGCGCCCCAGGCCCTCAGCCCGAGCCGGCGCCTGGAGCGAATGAGGAGCAGCGCGGGGGCCCGGGCCAGTGTCGGGTTCTCGCTTGTAAACTTTATTGTAACTCTTCCGCCCTTTTCAGGCGCAGACAACAGAACAAAGTATAGAGGAACAACAAAATATATAATTAGCCCTCCCTCCCCCCATAAAGCAATTCACGGATACAGGATACATTCTCTTCACAGTAAACCTAAGAACACTTTTAACAATTGCCCACAGCGCGCATGCTAACTAAAGTAATCTCTTTTTGAGAAACACTTAAGACAAAATTGTCAAACCAAAGGGGAGGGGAGGGAGGAGAAGAGAGAAGCGAGAAAGAAGCTTGGAGAGCGGCCTAGAGGGGAAATGAGGGCGCACCAGGAGAGAGAGAGGGAGGGAGGAAGGGAGGGAGGGAGGGAGAGAGAGAGAGAGAGAGGGAGGGAGGGAGAGAGAGAGAGAGAGA